CTTTCATACAACATTGACTATATTGCCAATTTTTGAATTAGGTAGTTCATTTGAAGAAAGAGAAGACTTTAGCGCCAGCACCTTCAACCATGCTGGAAACATTTGAGACAGCTGCGCTAGCATTACCCAGCGATGTTGGGAACACGGATGGAGCGTGTCCATTGCCTGCAAAAACACTATATTTTGATTAACTCTTTAATATAGTTTACTTGAGATAGCTTTGCATTGGAAGAATTAGGAAGTACAAACTTTAATTCTTTACCAGTTTCAATTCTAATCATACTAATCATCCTTGGACTTAACGAAGCCAAGCAGTACAAACATCTATATTCTGATTGAAAAAAAGCTATGTACTCTTGGCATCTCCAAATAAACCAAAATGTATCCAAACATGACATTGCATTCAAAAACTCACTTTGCTCGTGCAATGCAACGTTTGCTTCCTCCAGTTGTAATCTCCTGTTGATCGACTGATATACTTTATCATTCAACTTCTCATCATCAATTCCTTGCAATTCAAAGTCATTGTACACTTTCTAAAAATTGCCATGTATAATGCATCATCTGATCATTGTTTTCTCGAACATTGTTGCGATTATTGATGTGGCATATAAACGGAATGGTGTCAGCATTTTGAAGAGTGATTATATTTATATCAAAGTAGTTAGTATTGAAATTCCCGTATTTTCTTACAGTGGATTCTTACAGATTTCATGAAATGCGATCAGCTGAAATGAACATGAAAAATTTTAAGGTGAGTTTGACCTAGTGATGCGCCAACGCATGCGACTTATAATGGAGGCCTAACTGTGTATTAACCTATGGCAACGCTTGTGGACACGCGGGGAGGGGAATTTAAGTAAATGGCTTTGCTCTTCCAACTTTTTACCAAACCACCGAACCCAGAGGAATGGAAAGCTTGCTTGATTCGGAGACGGAATCGAGTTGTGAAAAATAATTCCTTAATGACGAGCGCCGCATGTGACAGGCAGCTAGTAGAAATATAGTAAGGGAAAAAAGTGCTGTCATACATCGTGAATAAAAGTAACGTTGAGCAGTGAAAGATATTATGTTCCAACCTTGACTATGAAGCTGAGGCAAGTGAACTGGTAAGGGCTTAACGACTGCTGCAATCGTTCCGTCAGCCATTCATGAATCATTTTCATTTGATTAGCATACCAGTTCTAAAAGTTGCAGTTGAAATTATGCTTAAATGCTTTCATCCTAAAAATGAACGTTAACCTCAAACAACGAGTTCACCCAAACTTCATCGGTAACAATTTGCCTCAGTTGTTCTGTACAGCCGCGCATGAATGTCACATACGAGTTTCCAAAATGTCCTGTCGATTG